AAAAAAAAAAAAAAAAAAAAAATCCACGTGATGTTCCTTCCCCAACCTAAGTCTACAATAGCAGCATGCTGGGTCCTGGTTATTGAGCTATCAGTGTTCATCGTAGAATCCCAGTATACTTATTTTTTTTAAAAGTGGTGAACATAAACCCTCAGAGGTTTTATTACTATGTCAGCATGATAAAACTTGGTTGTCCAAATGCCAGGAATTTGTATAAAGAAGACTATTAAATGAAGCTACTTTCGAGATTGCAGAGAAATTCTCTTAAATGTATCTGTAGGAGCTACATCTACTTAAACATGCTTCGAAGACACCAAAACTATTATTGCAACAAGATCTCATCACTGAGTAGCTCTTACTTTCAGAAAACCAGTTTACCACGGACTTTTACCTATAACGTACACGTATTTCTCTAAAGAAAAATTGGAATATACCGAGTTAAAATCTTGCCTCCTAAAACCATAGTCCTTAGGGAGAAGAGGATTTCATTAGTAGCAAAATGTGATTTTACACTTGCAGAAATAGCGCTGACACTGAAAATGCAATTTCAAGTCCGATCTTGAAAATGGAACTCCAGTTTAGAGTAAACTTAAACATGTTTTTAGTCATCTCTTCCTTTGCCCTCCTTACAAGAAAAGCAGTTGTGGCAGGTTCCTGATGGAAAGGTTTATGTTCCTTGAGAGCAGAACCCTTTCTGGGCTCCCCTCTGATTTCTGGGTTCCTGAAAACTGCTATGAAAGTGACTTGCCCGTGATCAGTGCACACGGGGTATTTGTTAAGTGAAGGCCGGTCCGTCTCATGCGCACGGCGGGAACTGGCAAGAGTCCATCGTTGTCCACCACGGCACCTTAGACCGTCCCCGAGCCCTGCGGGGTCGAGAGAGGCTGCTGTGAGTGACCAGGACAAGGGTGAAAGCTGCCCAGAGACCCCCATAAAGCTGTTAGAGCAAATTGTCTGTAGCTGCTGCAAAACAGATTAACTTGGACCATTTTTATCCAGGCCCACGCAATTTAATAAAGTAGAAAACATGCCTCAGAGATGAGGGAAGTCCAACAGGTTCCTTTTTTCTCGAGGAGAGAAATGTCTAGGAGTGTATTCGAAGTAATTTTCCCGATCTGGAAATTAGCTTTTGATTAAAAGTAGGTTTTGGTAGAAGGCAGAAGTGTTCACTAAGAGTTTCGCTGCCAGTTACACACTTTAAGAAATAACCCCCTAGATACTTGCTTGGCAGAGAAAACAGCTTGAATAAACGACAAGTGCTTAACCGGCTCCCACAGAGCTGCCCGGGCAGCGCCCAGGTGGGCAGGGCAGGCCGCGCTTCGGAACTGGCTTAATTTAGCACCTTCCCGCAGGCCTAGCGTGGTCCGCTGTTGGTGGCTTGCGCTTCCGTCGGAGTCATCTTCTGGATTGGCTACATCTAGATCAGGTATAAAACGGCAGGCTTGGACCAGCCATTAACATGCCCTGTAAGGCACGTATTGCCTTTCAGAGTAGATGAAGTCCTACCCCGAATTCTGGCAGGATGCTCTCTGATCGTTTGCTTCTCTGCACCTCACTTCCTCCAGTAATTCTGTTCACACGTACTTCCCTCCTCCTTGAGTCTCTGCACCCCTACAAGTGCCCCTTCCCCCAGCCAGAATAGAATTCTGTTATAGATAATGATCTACTTTTTTTTTTTTTTTT